GGTCCTTAGAAGGTTCAGAAGGGTCTTTGCGTGGAGTCCAGCTTATATGCCAGGGCTGGACCATAAAATAGCAGTTCATCGCCTGAATGTGCTACCAGATGCTAAACCAGTGAAGCAGAAACGAAGGCATTTATCACAAGAAAGAAGAGATTTTGTGAAGAAGGAGGTAGCAACCCTGCAGAGCATTGGGCATGTCCGGGAGGTGCAATACCCGGATTGGTTGGCGAATGTAGTCCTAGCACCCAAGCCACCTTCATGGAGGATGTGCGTCGACTACACAGATCTGAACAAGGCATGCCCCATGGATCCGTTTCCACTCCCCAACATTGATCAGATGGTTGATGAGACTGCCGGGTCGGAGTTAATGAGCTTCATGGACGCTTTCAGCGGCTATCATCAGATCCGGATGCACCCGGCAGATGCTGAAAAAATAAGCTTTAATTTATGACCCTAGAAGGGTTGTACTGTTACTTGGTGATGGCCTTTGGACTTAGAAATTCCGGGGCAACCTATACTCGGATGGTTTCGCAGGTGTTCAGGGCTGTCTTAGGACGGACCATGGAAGCATATGTTGATGATATGATTGTCAAGTCCAAAGAGGCCCGAGACCATGTCCGGGACCTTGAGGAGGTCTTTGAAATCATGATGAAGGTAAATCTAAGATTGAACCCGAAGAAATGCACCTTTGCTGTTCAAGGTAGGAAATTCCTTGGGCACATGGTAAGCCGGAAAGGAATTGAGGCAAACCCGTAGAAAGTAAGGGCCATCATGGAGATGGAACCCCCGAAGACAGCAAAGGAGGTTCAACGGCTAACAGGGAGGTTGGCAGCCTTGAATCGTTTCCTTTCAAAACTGGCAGAGAAGGCACACCCATTCTTTGCAGTGATCAAAAAGAGGGCGACCTTCGAATGGACACGGGAATGCCAAGAAGCATTCGAAGAATTGAAGAGATATCTCGCAAGTCCACCAGTTCTATCTAAGCCGGAGCCTGGAGATGTCTTGACTTTATACTTAGCAATTTCGGATTGTGCTATAAGTACTGTGATCGTGAGGGAAGAGAATGGGGCCCAAAATCCGGTCTACTACATCAGCAAGACCCTGAGAGATGCGGAGTTGAGGTATTCCCGTCCGGAAAAAGCTATGTTGGCAGTCTTCTGGACAGCGAAGAGGTTAACCCCGTACTTTCAGGCCCACTGGATTGTTGTGCTTACGAATGAGCCTTTGGCATCACTTACCCGAAGCCCGGCTGTTGAAACACGGGCTTGTCACGTTTTCGTACTAAAGCCGTGTTCGTTTTTGTAACAGGTTTTGATAATGCCAAACCGCCGTGATCAAGTCAAAACATTGAATATATAAGGCGAAGAAGGAAGACAAGAACAAGAGCTAAAAAGAAGACCAAGAACGAAGACCGTAGTCTTAGTGTCGTTGAGTCGGTCTTCATTGTGATCAAGACCGACCCAATCTTTACACCTTGGCTCTTTAGGCTAAAATCCTTCATTGCATTTCTTACATCATAAAATTGTTTTTCAAACTGGTTTAAGTCATTAAAAACACTTGGTGTTCGCCCAAACCAAAAACCAAGCCATCCGGCGTTCGGGTTTCAGAAACCGGCGTTCGGCTTTCGGTTATCGGCATTGGTTTTTGGCGTCCGAATCAACCAAGTGGTTTTCAACTATTTATGATTGGTTTTCACTCTTTGGCATGTTTAAACAGTTCTCCAACAAAAACACTTTGAAAACCATCTTTCGCTTTTGGTCGTTTGAATAAAATCATTCAAAACGGCAAAAACTTGGCTAGCCGTGGTTTTCACTCAAATGACGTGGTTTTTAAAGTGTCTTACTTGATTTCTTAGCCAAATGCATCAAATAAGTATTTTAAGCACTTGGTTTTTATTTTGGAGAACTTTGAATTTTTCGGTCGGTTTTC